TAGCCCATTGTGTAGCTTTGTGCTTAATTACAAAGAAACAAACAAACAAATACTGAAACGAAGAACATACTGTTTTCAAGAATTCTATCAATATGAAATTAGATGGGGGTCTAACCCCCATGACCTACCTCATATCATCCTCTATCAATGTGTCAAGTTTGGTGCTGTTTGATCAAGAAATGTGGAAACGTATAAGGAATAGATACACACAGATATTGATGTTTATTTATATAAAAGATGAGGGTCCAACTCCCAATCCCTTCTTGACCTTCCTCATGTCATCATGTATCACTGTATCAAGTTCGGTGCTGTTTGATCAAGAAATGTGGAAGCGTATAAGGAACAGATATGAAATGATAGACATTTTTCCCAAACACACACTTCGCTTTATATTGTATTAATAGATATATAAGGCATTTACGTTCCAGATAAAGTTACTCAATCTTGTGGCGGTATTAGTGGATTAGAAAGCTCCGGATAAACAACATTCAACCAAAATATAAACATAATTACAAAAATGTGAAATTCGGTATTCGCAAAATATCCTATTAAAATAACACTGAATCCAAACGTTTCGAAATTTATTAGATTCAAAAACGTCCGAGATTAAGGCTTTTTTTTTTTGTTTGTTTGTTTAGTAACTGGCATTCTGAATAAAATAAAGCATATAATTATAGTTTTTTGTCCAATTTATCAAAAATTGTTTTAATTTCCTACAGAGAATTGGAGAAAATTTGGTTACGTTTTCCAAACGTCAGTAATTCAAACCAAAATATTGTGTTGCTGTGTTCCCTAAGTAAGGTATTACTTATTTATTGTTACTTTCATTAACAGCATGTTTTACACTACTTATATATCGAATGTCAATAGTTTTTATTTTGATTCAGTTTTTATTATTTAGAACTAACTAAAAACATCTTAAACTGGCTAAACCTAGTGAGATATTATCGTGATTATGGATGAAAATATAGTTAAAAACGAAGGTGCCCAACTGATGAAATAATGCATTCTAATCTTTTTAAGTCGAAACGTAAGAAAATTATCTTTAATTAGCTATACTGATGGGATCAGATTGATTTCTAGTTTAGCTCTAGGTACATAGTTTACTCTGACCGGAAGTTAATATTCATTAATTTCGCATTTTTAATAAATTTTGTGCTTAGTAAGCGCCTTTCACAATATTAGTTCAAAGAGAATTTGGCGAAGAATTACTGGAGGGGGGGAACAGTTATTCTTCCCCGTTAATCCATAAAAGGGGGCGCTTCACGATGGGTTGTCCCTAAATGTGAAACGATGTTATATCACAATGTTGAGAGATTATGATAAATGGGATTCTAAAGCAAAAAGATGATCGTTATCATCCACTAGAAATAGCCCTTGGACTCAGAGTATGTTGCCCCGAAGACGATGCGAAATCCTAGAAACCAGACAATGCATGATTTACGTTTGTGTGGTGGAAGTGCTCATTAGTCTGTCGTTGCAAATGCCCCACAGCAGGAAGCAGGGCATCTTTAGCTGACTAAGTGCCCCGGTGGCCTAGCCAGTTCAACAAAGCAGCTTTTAATACAAAGAACTAGGAAGTGTTCCCCGACTTAGAACCCTGTACTACAGAGAGTGTATACATTATCTCTCTAAGGTAAATAAATAAAACGCAGAGAAGTCAAACAACGATTGTTTGTTTTTGTAAGTTCATATAAAAACAAGCGGTAAAACCTCAAAGTTGTTTGCTCGACTTTAGAAATTATGGTTTTGTTTTTGGCACGATTATAATTTGAGAAACACGTAACACATAATTCTTTTTTTAATTAATAAGCGGCGCGTTCATATATATTCTAGTTACAAATTGGTTCTTCAATGTACAGCATTTATAAAACGTGTTTTATGATACTTCAAATGCCCCTCAGTGGCATAGCGGTATGTTTACGGACTTACAACACTATAAACTGCGTTTCGA